GTTTGAGGAGTTGGCACACTTGTTCTGTGGAAAGTGTGGTTCTGCTGCTGAGAGTGGTGTCTGATTTTAATCTTGCACCGATCACATCCACTGCCTTATCAACAGGAACGCACGTGAAGAGCGATGTAACATCAAAAGAGACCATAGTTTCATCCGTCTCCATGATGACATCCCTCACCTAGGTGTGAACGATAGCCATGTGATGTGAGTATCAGTCACATGGAGGCAGGACTCAAAAGCCTGAATTTAGCCTGAAACTCTGACTGAAGAAGTCTCTTGGAAGAGAGACGAAACGTTTCATTAGAGAAGAACCCGTCCAGAAGACCTATACTATTTATTTCCTTTTGTTTTCATACAGTTTTTTTTTCAGTGATTTTTTTGGTCAACCGTAGCACAAAAACAGCTGCACCGATCAACATGAAATGAGTCAGGACTGTAGATGAGTCTGACCTACACTGCACCAGCCAATGGTTTTATGATAGACCCCATGTTTGAGGAGGGGGCTCCTTTCAAAGAGGGGGTGTCAGGACATGCAAAAATGTTTTTAACTCAAACTGTTAAACATAGAAGCTTCAGATTTCTTTTGTTGTTTAGCTCTGATGAAACTCAATCCATCAGGCCCACCAATCGGTGCCCCCCACCCCAGACGCCTAATTTATATCAGGGTTCCTGCAGATCCTTAAAGTCTTAAAAGTCATTGAATTAATCCAAAAATAAGGCCTTAATTAGCCTTAAAATGTCTTAAATCAATCTGTCAGAAGTCTTAAAATGTGAACACATTGTAAATAAGATGCATCTAGGACAGGTTAGGATCATCAATGATGTCGCTATTGATTGCATAGGATGCAATCAATAGCGACATCATTTAATGCATCTCAAATATTAAATTAATTAGTAACATTTATTTTTTTTAAATATTCACATGAAGACATTCCCCTTTGACATCACTTCCTGTTACTTAGCTGCAAATATTTCAACTGTCCATCTGAGCAATGTGAAATTTGTTTTACAATATGTTAATAATGTCTTTTTAAAAATGCATTCACTTTTCTTACAAATTTTGATGTCACAGGTGCTTTAATTTTCCATCTAGAGCAAGCTGGGGCTAAGACCCACTGTGGGTCCTGAAACGCTGAACTTTGTGTCGTTAAACCGACTGCTAAGAATGTTTTTACAATGTTTGATGAAAAGCAGTTAGATATGGATAAAAACAATTGGTCTATTAGCAATATTTGAATACTTCAACCAAAAATACTTTCATTCATGAGTTTCTGCCACAGTTTTATTTTTTTATCATTTGTGTTTATTGTGAAATTGGTTTTAAATTTAATTTCAGTTGGCATTAAAAAGTCTTAAATTTAACTTGCTTTAAACTGTAGGAACCCTGTTAGATGAAAAAGGGGTATCTGGACACAAAAATGGTTATTGCTCAAAAACTATTAAACATAATACAGATGAAAAACAAAATCAAAAAGGCTCGCACCAAAACCACCACAATTTTGGGATGCACCTAGTAGCATGACATTTATTAGGAATAAAGACTTCTGAGTTSTGGTGCATTTGTGCGTGCGGGGTCATTGTGTTACTGCTATGCAGTGTCTAGTTTAATCAGTTTTTCTCAGTTACTAAACCACATTTCTTGAAAGCCTCCATCCATTTCTCTAAACTGTAAACACAAAACCCAGTTCTCACTTTCACAGAACCTCTGACTAAAACCAAACTACAGCCTCAAAATACTTTAAACTTTGTACAAAACCAAACAAAGTTGTTGAATCAGACCTGGAAGAAATGAAAACAACAAAGTACAGAGCAGTCAGTTCACACAGGGAAAAACAAACTAAGATCATGAAGCTTGTTAAATAATCTTTATTGTTCACAAAGTAAAAGACATTTCCTAAACTAAACACCAGTTTAGCACTTGTAGTAAAAAAATCAAACATTATAAACTTGTATCTGTTTTCTTCACTTCATCTCAAAGTCAGGTCCTCAGAGCTCTGGACTTTCAGGTTCTGTTCAGATCTCTGAGGTTCCTGGGATCTCTTCAAGTCACTCCTCTAGTTTGGGGGTCCCAGCACCAAGTGTTCCAGTGACCACTGGGACTACTGGTGCTTTGAGTCCATAACTTCTTTATTTCCTCCTGGTTTTCATCTTCTTCCTGGTGTTTCAGTCACTGATGATCTCCACATCTATCACTGCTGCCTTCTCCTCATGGTTGTGGACCACCATGTCCAGCTGGTCAGTCTGGATCAGGATGTCCCAGTATCTGAGGTGGTGACTCTCACTGTGGCTGTGGGACCTCCAGTTTATATGTTGCATGAGTGTGTAGACTATAAATAAATTATATATACAGTATATAGTTATATACTGTTTTTATGTAAGTGTATAAATCCATTACACCAACAAAAGTACATCCAGTACTTTACAGTATAAATATTTAGAGTATTTTCCTCTGTGATTGTTTCTATAGKGAAGCTTCAATGAGCAGGGCTGCTTGTACTGGTTGTACTGGTTTGTTCCCATCATTAGACATGTGTGTGTGGTCTGTTTTGAGTTGTTGTGTTTCAGATCAGACAGTAGTGCTTCATTTGTGTCTCACTGTTGCTACCTGTGCTGATCATTGTGGAACCATGTTAAAGAGCAAAATGTGTTTTAGTGAAAACAGGTCTGCATGTTGTGTCGAACTGGATGAAACGTGCTTAAAGTTCTGACAAAAGASTGGCCATTTTAATAAATGGGTTCAAGGAGCTGAACATTTGGTTCAAACAACTGGGTTTAGTGTTTTAGGAACTGAGAAAAACTGTAAAACAAAAGTAATTATATAAAAAGTAAATGAAGCTTTGAAATATGCAGTAAATAAATTTACCACCAGGTTGGAGTCTTAAAGAGAGCAAATGTTTTTATATCCAGTTCTTTTTAATCATTTCATCTTTTATTTGTTCAGGAATAAAATATAAAAATCCTTAAAAGACAAATGTTTACAGGAAAGTCCTGACAGACAGGTTTCATTTAAAAATACATTTCACACAAGTTGACAGAAATTAGAGCTACAACAACTAATCAATAAAAAAGTGTTGGCAACAATTTTCATTCATGATTTGTTGTGTCGGATAGTTAATTATAGTATTGATTTAATGACTAAACTTTAGGTTTTAATTTACTGTCTCTGAATGAAAACTGTCTTAAAACTACAAATAAAACAAGTCTTTTATTGAGTTCTTGTAATAATCAGCTGTCTTAACATGATGTCACAGACATGACAGCGTCCATGAACAGGGTTCCTACAGTTTAAGGCAAATTAAATTTAAGACCTTTTTAATGCCAAGTGAATTTAAATTTAAGACCAATTTCATAATAAACACAAATGACAAAAAATAAAATACAAACTGGCAGAAACTCATAAAACAAAGTATTTTTTGTTTAAGTAATAAAATATTGCTAACAGACAAATTGTTTTGATCCATTTCCAACCGTTGCAAAAACATTCTTAGCATTCAGTTTTAAACTTCATTTAATTTCTGGAAATCCTCTAACGACCCAAAATTAGGAGTTTTAGGACCCACATGGGGTCTTAACCCCAATTTGCTCGAGGTGAAATCTTAAAGTGACGTCAATTTTTGTAAGAAAAATTAGTGCATTTTTGTAAAGACATTAGCATATTAGAAAATAAATTTCACGCTGCTCAGACGGACAGTTGTTGAGATATTTGCATGTGAAGTAACAGGAAGTGATGTCAAATGGGAAATATTTTTTAAAAATAATTTTTACCAATTTTAATATTTGAAATGACCTACAATCGTCCTATGTACAATGTGTTAACTTTTTTAAGACCTCTGAAAGATTGATTAAGACATTTTAAACCTAATTAAGGACTTATTTTTGAATAGATGAATTCAATGACTTTTAAGACTTTTTAAGGACCTGCAGGAACCCTGTTCAGAGAGTCCATAAGAGTACATGATCCAAGATAAAGACTTCACTATGATAGTTCACACTTATATTTCAGGTTACACTCTTCCCTCAGGACACATTTTACAAAGCTCATGGAGATCATCATCATCATCATCATCATCATCTTCATCATCATCAAACACCAGCCACAGTTGAAACAAAGCACTTAAAAATAATGACATGCAATGACAGATTTAAAAGCTCATTTAAAACAATAAAACAGTTGAACACAAAGAAAATATGAACAGACTTTAAGAATGTAGCACATTTGTGTAGATTTTTGTGTACAAATATTTACCTATTTATACATTACAATTTAATATTATAGAAACAGTTCTGGAACACCAAACTGTTTTTTGTGCGATTTAAAATAATCGATTATAATTGTTTGCTGCAGCCCTATCAAAAACCCCAAAACAGTAAAATGAATAAATGTTACTGAAATAAACTCCAGAAGAAAGGTCATAAAAACAAAAATCTAAATATTTCAAGTCAAACCTCAGATAATCTGCAGCTCTGACCTTGTTTCCTGTAGAACAAACAGGAAATCAGTGATTTTGACCGTCAGACAAAAACTCTGAAAATAACTTATCAAAATAAATCAAAGTTTTTCATTTAGACAGCAGAAAGTTAAGGACGACTGCTCAGAGTTCTCTACAAGACTATAAAAAAGACATGGCAGATTAACTAAACAAAACTCATTTAAAAAAATTAATTGTTTGCACAAAAAAAAAAAATCCCAAAGAAAATCTAAATAATTTTCTCAAATAAAACCAGAAAAGTTTCAGCTCCTATTTAAAAACCCAGATTGTCTCAGCAGAATGCCTGAGGACAAGTCTTTGGATCCATCCTTCAGATACAGATCTTCTGAAAAAAGCAGCACTTGTTCAAAGAATTAAAAACTAGGGGTGTCCTGATCCGATATTGATATTGGTCCGATATCAGCCAAAAAAACAACTTTCTGATTTTATCGGCCTGCATCTAAAATCTCAGATAAGCACAGGGATAGAAGCAGTCCGTTCTACCAGTCCGCTCCAGCTTCTCTATCAGCAGCGCTTGGATCCAGCATGGATAGTTGTATCGGGTCAATATCGGTATCGGCCAATTCTCAAAGTTTCAATATTGGTATCGTATTGGAAGTGAAAAAGTTGTATTGGGAAACCCCTAATAAAAACTAAAACTACAGCTGATTTCTGCAGGTTTTCCCATGTGAAGAACAAGAACCTTTGCAAACTAAAACATTCTCAGGTGGGATTGGAAACATCATTTTGTAATTAAAATATTCCACAGGATCCACAAGGATCTGGCTTCTCTCCTGTGTGAACATCTGTCACAAACATCCTACTTATGTATGGTGTCTCTTTATGTGGTACAACAAAGCTTGTTTAAAACAATAACGCTTTTCACATTGACCACAAGCATACGGTTTATTGAAAACGTGATTTTGCATGTGCTCTACCATACTTCTTTTATTAGCATAACGTTTTGGACATTTGTCACAAGCAAATGGTTTCTCACCCGTGTGAGTTTTCATGTGTGTGTTTAAGGTCCCCGTTGTAGCGAAACATCTCCCACACGTTTTACAAGAATGTGGTTTTTCACCAGTGTGGACCAAAGTGTGGAGCCTTAATTTGTAGGTATCTATGAAACATTTCCCACAAGTCCCACAGCAATATGGTTTTTCCCCGGTGTGGATCTTCATATGTCTGCCCAATTTCTCTTTAATTCTAAAATGTTTCCCACAAAGTTTACAACTAAAGGGCCTCTCTCCTGTGTGAACGGACTGATGGTTGTGTAATGCAGAAGAGCTTGAATAATTTTTCCCACAAGTTTTACAAACATACCCCTCACCTGTGTGACTCTTTTTGTGGTCCTGTAAGTGACCATTGCTGTAGAAACTTTTCCCACATGTGTCACAGGAAAATGGTCTCTCACCAGTGTGAATTCTCATGTGGATTGGTAAATAACTACTTACTCTGAACCTTTTCCCACAGAGCTGACAGACATATGGTTTCACACCTGTGTGGACACTGTGATGATCCTTTAGGTGGTATTTATTCTTAAAACTTTTCCCACATTTGTCACATTGAAAAGACTCCAGATCTGCTTCAGGGTTAGTCTCAGTCTCTGCAGAGATGTCCGTATCGCTGGTGGGACTTCTGTTCTCAGAGAGGACCGGGTCTTTGTCTGGTTCTGGTTCCATCTGATCACTTTTCTTGATACAACTTGTCACAACTGAGGTTGTGGTTTCCTGCTTCATTTCAAGCTGATCTTCATCCTGACTGATGGAGAGATCATCCTCTTCCTCTTTAACCTGTGGAGGTTCTGGTTCCTGAGGTTCTTCTTTAACTCGTGGAGGTTCTGGTTCCTCAGGTTCTTCTTTAACTCGTGGAGGTTCTGGTTCCTCAGGTTCTTCTTTAACTCGTGGAGGTTCTGGTTCCTCAGGTTCCTCTTTAACCTGTGGAGGTTCTAGTGCCTCAGGTTCTTCTTTAACTCGTGGAGGTTCTAGTTCCTCAGGTTCCTGTTTAACCTGTGGAGGTTCTGGTTCCTCAGGTTCCTGTTTAACCTGTGGAGGTTCTGGTTCCTCAGGTTCCTGTTTAACCNTTAACCTGTGGAGGTTCTGGTTCCTCAGGTTCCTGTTTAACCTGTGGAGGTTCTGGTTCCTCAGGTTCCTGTTTAACCTGTGGAGGTTCTGGTTCTTCTTTAACTCGTAGAGGTTCTGGTTGCTCATGAACAGAAATGGTTTTGCAGATGTGTTGGTGGTCTGGGGGAAAAGGAAAAAAAATCAAAGTTTAAAATAGTTTACGTGCAGAGGAAGAAATATTCTTTATGGCCACAAATACCTGATAAAATTATCAAACACATGGATACAACCGAAATAAAATGTTTGACCTGTAAGCAGAAATCTTATGGATGTTGATTTTTGGTCTCTTTCAAACAGGAGGAGGAGGTTGTCCAGCGGACAACCTGAAAAAAATCCTTCTGTCTACCCCTGAATTACACAATAAAACAGTGAAACCACTTGAAAACAAACACACTCAATCTTGACAAGCTTAACAACAAGTCTGCAGTGAAACTTGCTGATAACGATGCCTCTATTTTTTTCCTATAGTTTTCTTAAATGTTGCGTGTATAGGATAGAGTGGAGATCTGTCAGAATTTATTTCACCATAATGCTGAAGTAAAATCACTTGAAAATGAACATGGTGGATCTTTATAAGCTTAAGAATAAGTCAGCAGTGAAATTTGTTGATAACTCAGCCTCTATTGATGAATAACAGGCTATTTCAGTACCGATGGCCGCATTTCCGAGGTGTAATTGAATGCATCATAGAGGCTGACATTTTTTCGGGAATCCCATGGGTCACGTGATTCCCGCGGGATTCCTGTGGGATGGGAATTGACTTAACTATTACTCACGTGATTTGGACGGTACAGGATCAAAAGTTAACGGGAGCAGACGGGAGCGGGAAACAATTTGTCATGACAAAAAAAAATAGAACAGGCGTCGCCATTTTGTAGTCCTCTGTCCACCAGCTTGCACTGTAACACGAGTTAAAAAACTACATAACCCAGAAGGCAATGGTACTTCCGGCCGCTGATTTCCGCCRGAATAAAGAGCAGCAACAATGGAGGGAGGAAACACGAGCGGAGAAACCGATGTGGTTAAAGKTGATTTGCAACGCAAAGTCAGAAGTAACGATCTTTCTATTAAGTTCACAGAATTAGCAGGAAAGTCGYAAATATTACAGAACTTTGTGAGAGTTGAGTGTGACGGTGTTAACACGCTGTATGCCGCTTGTAAGACGTGCTTAGTTTTAGTCAAGTACAGTAGTGAGTCGGGGACGAGCAGTTTCAAAAGGCACACCTGCAAGGTAAATACCGGGAAAAATCAGCCAAGCATATCTTCATTTGTCAAGCGCAAATTACCATCGGGTGTGAAGTCGCGTCTGACCAACAAAATTGCTCGCATGTGCAGCCAAGATTTAAGACCKTTTGCTGTAGTAGAGGGGAAAGGCTTCATCAGCGTTGCACAGGAGCTGCTCGACATTGGAGCCAAATATGGAAGCAACGTTCAGGTGGAGGACATACTGCTGTGTGCACGCACAGTCTCCCATCACGTTGAAGGAGAGTTTGAGAAAATAAAACAACTGGTCATGGAAGAGCTTCGTCAGGTACGTCACGCTGTACTTTTATATAATACAAAAACTTTACTCTGGTGTCATACTATCTATAAATTTCCTAACACTAGATTTACTTTGAATTACTTAATCCCCTGCTATTTTAAAATTGTCATCTGTTTTACATAAAGATACTTTAAGTGTTACTAACAATATAGCTAATTTCTTTTATGCAGACTAAAGACCAGGCAGTAACCACAGACTTTTGGACAGAAGAGAGGACCAACACACACTACATCACTGTTACAGTCCATTACATTCTTGACTGGAAGATGGTGAACCGGGTTTTGGCCACAAGGGAGATGGAGGGTGTCAAATCCAGTGACCACATCAGAAGAACAGTGGAGGGAATTCTTCAGGTATCTATTATTCACCATTCTGGCTTTTGGTTTTAGAGATTAGAACAGGCATTTTATGCTGGTGCTACAACTTTTTCCAATAACAGTGAGCAAGTCAAGAAATTAATTGTGAGTGTGATGTTGTCCAAGAGAAACAATGTACAAG